AGACAAAGGTGGGGGCAAGCATTTGGGGCTACCTTCGATGGTTGGGAGAAATAAAAAAGAAATTTTTGGCTATATCAAAGAAAAGGTTATTCAAAGAATCCAGAGCTGGGATAATAGGTTCTTATCTAAAGCTGGGAGAGAAGTATTAATTAAAACGGTTGTTCAAGCTATGCCCCAATATGTCATGAATGTGTTCTTATTGCCAGTTGAATTATGTAGTGATATTGAAAAAACTATGAATGATTTTTGGTGGAGAGGGCATGCTTTCAAAGGAAATGAATTAGGTGGAAAACGTGGGGTGACCAGTGTATCCCGAAATCACAAGGAGGGCTGGGATTTAGAAAACTCCGCGAGTTTAATATCGCCATGTTGGGTAAGCAGGTATGGCGTATCCTAAAATATCCAAATTCGTTGGTGGTTAAGCTTTTAAAAGCAAAATACTTTACCCACGGTGATATCTTGGAAACAAGGTGTGGACATAATCCATCCCTTATTTGGCGAAGAATCGTGGCAGCTATCCCAGCGGTTAGAGAAGGGGTTTGTTTCCGAATTGGCAATGGGAATTCAGCAAGAGTATGGAAAGATAATTGGCTATATGACACTGGAGGGTGCAGGCCGGCCGGGAATGAAATAGTCGGGTTGGAAAATATTTATGTTAATTCTCTTATGCTCAATGATGGAACGGGTTGGGATTTCGACTTATTGGAGGATCTTTTTTAGAGGAAGATAAAAATCTTATTTCTAGTATTCCTTTGCGGCCGAGACAGATGGAGGATGAACTGATTTGGGCGGATGATACTAAGGGAGTTTATTCAGTTCAGAGTTGCTATAAAAGACTCAATAGAAGTGTACAACCGGAGGTGGGCTGGGCGAAAATTTGGAAACTTGAGATACCACCGAAGGTAAAACTATTTTTTGGCAAGCTTGTGTGGATTGTTTACCTACCAAACAACGATTATTTCAACGGCGAGTCCCGTTGTGGCCGAAGTGCCTGATTTGCGGACATGAGGAGGAGAGCTCGCTGCACATCTTTCGAGATTGCACATTAGCGAGGGCTGTGTGGCACAACAAGGGCTGGAAATTCTGGTATGCCGCAGCTCCGAGTTTTGGAGATTGGGCATCCTCGGTGGCAGAGAGTAGCACGAAGGAAGAGTTCGGCCAGTTCGCTATGTTATGTTGGAGCTTATGGAAAGCTCGCAATGAAAAGACTTGGAAGAATTTAAACCCCAGTTGGAAAGGAGTAATTATCTGCGGAGAGGCTATGTTAGACGGATGGAAGACGACACGACTCCCTAAGCCTCGAAATAAGACCTCGGTAAAGGAGTTCGTTACATGGCAGCCACCGGAGAGAGGTTTTGTGAAGATCAATGTTGATGTCGCTGTTTCGAGCGCAAGAGATGTAAGAGGTATGGGTCTCATTATGCAGAACAGTAACGGGGACTTCATATCAGGGAAAGCATAAGGAGAAGGGGGCGGTTTACACCCGGAACGACAGAAGCTTTGTCAATTGAGGAAGCTATTAAGTGGGCTATGGAACGTGGTTGGAATCGGGTTATAGTGGAATCCGATGCTCAACATATTGTCCAGGGGCTTACTCAAGGAGATGGCATACACTATAATGATATTATTTATAGAGATATTAGACATATGATGGTAGAGTTTACCGATATAAGTGTCCAGTATGTGCACCGTATGGCGAATCAGGCGGCTCATATTCTTGCAAGGGAAGCCTGTTCAGGGTCTGTCGGTACTTGGTGGGAGAATCCTCCACTTTGTATTATCCATACTTTGAATTGCGGTGATCATTAATAAAGGTATTGGATTTTCAAAAAATAAACTTCAATTGGGAAGACTACTCTGGAGGTTCCGGCGGGAGAAGCTCAATTAAACCTCGCCGGATGGAAAAAACGGAGTTAAAACGCAAATAATTAAATACGTAGTATAATATAACTTCAGTGCAATATTAATACATGTAGTTACATCTTTTTATGAATGATTTACATCTTCATGTGTATGAGTTACATCTTTTTATAAGTAAGTTACATCTTTTGAAGCATGGGTTACATTTGGATTTGGCTCAACAAGTTACATTCTATGTACACCTAAGTTACATTTGCTATCAACGTGAATTACATTTGTAATAACATGAGTTGCATCAAAAAGTCAACCCCAACTATTGAAAAAAAATGATTTTTAAGTCCTTTTGATGGTCATATATTATTAAAAACAAAACATATTCACAATTTACGTAAAGTAATTATGTAGTTAAACTCATTTTTTTCATTATTTACATTGAAATCAATATTTTATTTCTTAATTTGACAGGTTATATTTCTTAATTTGACAAGTTACATTTCGAATGGACATGAGTTACATTGATCAATAACGTGAGTTACATTTCTTTACATTTGAGTTATATCATTCATGTTACCAGGACAAAAAAAACAGGTATTGTACACGCGTGTACTGTTCATGCGTGTACTGTTCACGTGAATTTTTTAAAAAAATTGTGCAAAACTACGTCATTTTGAGGGTGGAGCATGATGCTCACCGTGGGATGATCCCACGGTATACAAACTGGTCGTTACCCATTTAGTAATAGCTATATAGATGTACACGATGGTACAAGAGAAGCCTTTGTTCTAGTCTTTGTCCCGCTTCACTTCAATTTCAACATTAATTGTTATTACCTCCGACCCTCTAATATTGGGACGGAAGAGAGTTGTATGAATTTTAAGAAAAGTAGAATTATGTGATTGATAATGAGTTGATAAAGTGAGAATAAAGTAAAAATGAATTAGAGTCACACAAATGTAACCAAATATGGTATAAGACAATAATAAAGAGACATCCAAAATGGAAAAATGAGACAATTATAGGGGGACGGAGGGAGTATTAATTAACGGTTCCGTTTCTATTTTATTAACCATTCGGTTCTTGGTTCTTGGCTCTTGTAAAAAAAATACATTCGTTCTTTTTAATTGTAATATTAGTGAATTTTACATTATTCACATACTCTACTTTGACTATGTTTTATTTATTGTTGTATTATAAATTAAAATTTTGAAAAGTATTGTTAAATTTCTCTCATTTTAAACTCTACAAATCTGTTTTTTAGTTTTTTTACTAATTATGAATGAAAGATGTCAATCGTCAAATTTGTGCGTTGACAAACATGAAAAATAGAATGTTGCAACTAAAAAAGAATGGAGAAAGTATGTATGCATAATCATTAAGAACCCGCTATAAATTAAGTTTTTATACTCAATTCAATGATTTAGTTTAGTTTTTTTTATTGATTTAGTTTAGTTAATAGAGTCGATATCTTGATAAGTATTTAAGCGGTTCCTCTTGTGAGAGGCTCAGATAGTCGATGAACTTTTTTAATGGCTAACTACGTCGGTAATTGAAGAGCATAATTATTGATTACAGTAATGTCAGTTTTGTTTTCTTTACTAAAACTTCAGTTTGTTATATATTTATGTTTGAATCTTTAACTTTTAAGATTTGAAAAGATGGTAACTTTGAATGTATCTATACGTATAATTTCAAATGTCGAATGTCTTTATGTAGCATAACTTTAGTAGTGATTTGTAAGAGATTAAAAAAATAGACATTGAGAAATGATAACTAAAACGTTAAGGTTTGTTTGAGTTTCTGTTGGACGGATGCTAGTTATGGGCTTTTAATATTTACATGTTGTATTAATTATGGGAAATTCTATTCACAGCCACCTGTTTACTTAATACAACCACATATTTTCAATTCTTCCTATTATGTCCTTAATAATATGCAACTTAATACAACTGTAGACAAATCACATCTGCCGCAGCTTCTTAACCCTTATGCCCGATGAAATTCTAAAGCTACATTCTGGTTGCAATGAGTTCATTGATTCTGCCAATGGATATATACACTTTGTATGTCTTCCTTGGCCGCCGAAATATAGTCTGCCAATAAAGCTTCATAAATTAGCTTCCTATCTTCTTCTCAACCACAAAAAATGGCTTCTTTTCTTCGTTCCCTCGCAGCTATCTTCTTCTTTGTGATGTTGTTCATGGCCACCGAGATGAGAAGCAGCGGGAAAATTGTGGCCGAAGGCAGGATGTGTGAGACCGGAAGCACTAGCTCCAGGGGGGCATGTCTTGGTGACAGCTATTGCAACACGGTGTTCTGGGAGAGGGATTCCCTGACGGTGACTCCAAATGATCCCACGCCGTTGCAAAAAGTCTTGATATCTTATTAATGACTAAGCTTAATTATTAATTTGGTTTTATGAAGTATAATTATCTTTCAATTAAAAAAACTCTGCCAAGGAAATCTTGAACAATAGAAAGATAGACAATTACCTTAATTACATTTACTGGGTTACTGTGGATATGTACGTTGTTGATAAAATTGATGGATGGAGAAGCCATATGCATCAATGCGAAGATGAAGTGAGAGAATTGATGGCTCAGAGAGAGAGAGCGATGTAGCCTGCATGAAGGTGGAATGAAGTTGAGGGCAGCCAGTTGAGAATTGGTAACCGATTGGCACCTATAGAAAAGGACATAATTGGAAGAATGAAACATGTGTGGCTGTATTTAGTAAAAAAAGTGGGTGTGAATAGAATTTCTCATTAATTATAGGGATTTACTAAAATAGGAGTAAATGGAGTTTGAGATTCCAAAATAGGACAATTATGTTTTTATTCTTGAAATATGACTAACATGACAATATTTACTGTCATCTAGTAGATGTGACTGCTAAATAGTTGCAGTACAGTGCATTTAACATGACAGTATCAATTATAATTAATTACAGTATTTTTCAATAGTGGCAGTATTTTTCATACATGACAGTAATAACTCTTATTTCGAGAAGAAAACATAGTAGTCCTATTTTGGAAATTCCAAACCACATTTACTCCTATTTTGGGTAATTTTCCTTAATTATATGTATTTAGTTTGTAACTAGTAATATGGATTGAGGGCTTCTTAGACACACAACATGTTGTATATATACTCCTGATAATGAAATAAAGAGCAGAGCTAGTTTTTTATTCCTACGCTAAACTCAACATGGTATCATCAGAGCCCCCAGCGGCTGAGCAACCGAAAAACCCTACCTGCTCGTCCATGTTCGTCTTCGACCAAAAGTAACACCAGGGTTGTTCACTTGTTCAGAGATGGGAGACGAAGCAACGCCATGGTTGGACCCTGCATCACCGTTTTATCTGGGATCGGGAGATCAACCAGGTAATCTAATTACTCACGTTGTCCTCAATGGCGACAATTACGTGTCTTGGTAGAGGGCCATTACTCTGTCACTAAAGGTGAGGTGAAAGTTCGTGTTCATAGATGGAACCATCAAGAAACCTACGGCAGCGTCGTAGCTCCTCGATTGGGACACAGTAAACTCGGTGATTGTTTCTTGGATCCTGCGAAGTATTGACCTAAGTGTCGCAACATCTATACCTTATCATGAAGAAGCAAGATCATTATGGTTGTATCTTGAGATCCGATTTGGTGTTGCTAACAGGCCTCGTTTGCAACAGTTACGTGCATCCATTACAGATTGCAAACAAATCAAAGTCATGTCTGTTGAAGGATATTATACCAAACGTATGGGTCTCTACCATGAGATGAATCGTCTCAAGCCATTACACGTGTGCTCGTGTGGAATTTGTACATGTGATGTCGCTGGCAAGTTTGTGGCTGACAGGGAAGAAGAACAATTTCATCAATTCTTGATTGGAATTGATGATGAGATTTACGGGACGGCTCATTCAAACCTTATGTCTCAAGACCCATTGCCGGATATTAATCGTGTGTGTCAAGTCTTCCTTTGAGAGGAGCGCTCTCGCGCCATTACTCGTAACAAGAATCATGTTGCTGAAATCAGTGCCCTTACTCTTCAAGCCGAGCGTACCAAGAGACGGGTGGACAAAGCCGAACGCAGCAAGCATACATGTTCTCATTGCAAACAGAAAGGTTATGACATAAGTACATGTTTCAAAATACATAGCTATCCAGAGTGGTGGGAAGAACGTAATCGTAACAAAGGTACACTTGGACAAGGACCACCGGCTGGAACGCTACCTTGTCGCATGGGCAGGGAGGAATCGCACACGCACATGTTGTAACTGCACCGCCATATGAAGTGACTGCTCCGCCTAACTCTGGTGATACACATCTGTTACATATGTTGACTAAAGAACAGGTTGACGTGCTTTTGAATATGCATAATAACAAAACTCGTTCCTATGATTGTATGACTGGTGAGTCAACTTATTTTGATTGGACTATTGATATTGGGGCCACTCATCATGTGACGAGCGATTCATCATGTCTCACCAATTTTGTGCATATTAATTGATGTCCGGTCGAACTACCCGATGGGCGTACTGTGACTGTTTCTATGGAGGGCAGACGGGCAGTGTGCGCCTCTCTCAAACACTCTCACTTGCTAATGTTCTCTATGTGCCCGGCTTACACTGTCATCTCATATCTGTGTCTAAATTAATTGATCACTCAGCTTGTACAGTATCTTTCACTAATTCTCTTTGTGATATACAGGACCTACACTTGAGGAACCTGATTGGACCCGATGAGAGACGAGATGAGCTAATTTATTTCCGAGATGTGCCAGATGTTCATGTCGTTGCAGAACCTGGATTCCCAGAGTGTTAGCTACGGCGTCATCTTGGGCATCCGTCAGATAGAGTTGTTGAACTAGTACCTGGGGTTAGTTCTAGTTTTTCTAGAAAGAAACTAAATAAAGCTTGTGTGGTTTGTCCACAAGCAAAACAAGTTCATGATTCTTTTCCTTTTTGTGAAAATAAAGCTAGTCGAATTATGGAATTATTACATTGTGATTTGTGGGGTCCCTATAAAACACCCTCTACTTGTGATGTTGTTTATTTTATGACCATTGTTGATGATTTCTCTCGAGCCGTTTGGGTCTATTTGTTTCGTGACAAGAAGGTGGTCTACAAATATTTTGTATCATTTTTTCCATGATCAAAACTCAGTTTGATGCTCCTGTAAAAATTGTGCGAAGTGAAATGGTACAGAATTCAGATGCATGTTTAACTATTTTAATGATCATGGCATTTTATTCCAAAGTTCATGTGTAGAAACCCCTCAAAAAATGGGAGAGTGGAACGCAAACACCGGCACATTTTGAATGTAGCTCGTGCCTTGATGTTTCGAGCCAACATACCGCTTTGGTTCTGAATGCATACTGATTGTGGTTTATCTAATTAATCAAACTCCATCAGGTATCTTGCATGGGAAAACTCCATATGAATTACTTACTCGCAATGTCCCTGATTTTGGTCATATGCGCGTCTTTAGGTGCCTTTGCTTTGCACACAATAAAAGGTCCAAGGGTGATAAGTTTCTCCCGCGTAGTCGACGATGTGTTTTTCTTGGGCGTCTCAATGGCAAAAAGGGATGGAAAATGTACGAGCTCGAGACAAGTGACATGTTCCAGAAACTGTGTCTCTAGCTCCTAGTGGAACAAATGATTCTCCTTCTTTATTTGTTGATGAGGACCACATTGATCCTTCTAATGACCAAGTCAATATGGCCTTAGGTAGTGAGGAAAGTGCAACTGCCAGTGCCCTGACGTCAGATACTCCCTCCACTCCGGATGATAATGCACTTGATGGTTCTATCATTGTCTCAATCGAGACTCACATCGCAGCAGATCCTCCTCCTAGGAGCAGTACACGAGCTCCTCGACCCTCTGTTTTGCTTTTCAAGATTTTTGTTACAAATCATGTGAAGACGTTGATCCCATCTCCGTCCTCTGCCGTCTCTTCTTCTCTTTCCTCGGGTGTGTCCTATCCTATGGTGCATTTCGTAAATTTTGATAAGTTTTTTGTTCGGCACCGTGTGTTTCTTGCAGTTGTACTTGCAGGATCTAAACCTCATTCTTTCAAGGAGGCAATGACTGATGATGGATGGCGAGCAGCCATGCAAAATGAAATTCGCGCTCTAAAAGCAAATAACACTTGGGTTATGGAACCGTTGCCTCCTGAGAAAAAGGCTCTTGGATGTAAGTGGGTGTATTTGGAAATCATCAGATTGAGGGTCCTGACTACACCGAAACCTTTGCTCCCGTGGCTAAAATGGTCACTGTTCGAGTTTTTCTAGCTGTTGCAGTTGCCAAAAATTGGGGAATCCATCAGATGGATGTCCATAATGCATTTCTTCACGGTGATTTGCATGATGAGGTCTATATGAAACTTCCACCCGAGTTCTCTTCATCTCAACCCAGCATGGTATGTCATCCGAAAAAATCTCTATATGGACTACATCAAGCACCCATGTGCTTGTGTGCTAAATTAGCCGCCACACTTAAACGCTATGGGTTCGTTCAGTCTTATTCAGATTACTCTCTTTTCACCTTCCGTCAGGGATCAGTTCAGTTGCATGTACTCATCTATTTAGATGATATGATTATTATTGTGTGCAATGACCTTGCTGCCTTGTCTTCCTTTAAAAATTATTTGAGCACTTGTTTTCACATGAAAGACTTGGGCTCTCTCAAATATTTTCTTGGGATAGAAGTTGCGCGCAATGTTGATGGCTTATTTTCATGTCAAGAGAAGTACTCCCTCCGTCCCCTTTTAAATGTCCCATTTTACCATATTAGGATGTCCCTATTTAATTGTCCCATACCTTATTTGGTAAAGTTTGTGTGGCTCAAAATCATTCTTACTTTATTCTTACTTTATTCTTACTTTATCTATTAATATCAACCACACAAACCTACTTTTCTTAAAACTCGTGCCACCCTCTTCCGGGACATTTAAAAGGGGACGGAGGGAGTATAACTTAGATATTATTTATGAGACTGGACTTCTTGGAGCCAAACCAGCTAGCTTTCCGATTGAGCAAAATTTCACCTTAGCCCTTGCTAATGGTGATCTGTTATCTGATCCCGAGTCTTATCGCTGCCTTGTTGGCCGCCTCATATATTTATGGGATAAGGGTCAAATTGGACACTATGGTTACATTTGAATCTCATATTGGACACTAAGGTTTTAAATGGACCAAATTGGAAACTACGGTTAGATGTATATCTCATATTGGACACTAAAGTTTCAAATGGATCAAATTTAATGTTTTTATGCTCATTTTTAAACACCCATCGAAGATTTTTCACATTTGAAAGTTGTAAATATTCCTTTTTTTATTTTTTTATGTACCTAAATAAAATTTACTTGATTCGTGTATTTAGATTTCAAATATATAATTAGATGTTCCAATTATGAAAATCTATTATAATGTAATTGAAATCTTTAATATTGTTAAAATAATTTAACAAATCGATATTTCCCTAAGTTTCATAAAAATCATATGAATGAAAAGTCATAAATATATTTTTAACTTGTTAAATATAAGAATTTATTTATAAAAATCAAATTATATATTCTAAAACCTCAAATTAAATATTTCAAAATTATAAACATCAATTAAATTAGTTTATTTTCACCAAAAATAGGAAAAATAAGACTAACAAATTTTATTGAAGGAAGAAGAGAATCGTGAGTGTCCAAAAACTATGGATTATGAAACCTTGGTGGCTAATATGAGATTCATACGTAACTATAATGTCTGATTTGGTCCATTTGAAACCTTAGTGACCAATATGAGATTCTCATGTAATCATAGTGTCCAATTTGACCCTTATCCCTATATCTATCTTTCACTTGGCCTAATTTAGCATACATGGGGATGTCGCGCTTCACGTTGTTCGATATCTAAAAGGTTGCCTGGGACAAGGTATTATATTGCCTTCCTCCTCTGATTTTTCTCTGACTGGATGGTGCGAATCTGATTGGGCGAGCTGTCCTCTCACTCGTCAATTTCTCAACGGCTGGATAGTCTTTCTTGGTGGCTTTTCTATATCCTGGAAGACCAAGAAACAACACACAATTTCTCGTTCATCCGTTGTGGCTGAGTATCGCTCCATGGCCGCCATCATAGCGGAACTAAAATGGCTCAAGGCCCTTCTTCTTAATCTTGGCATTAATCATCCCACTGTCATGACTCTATACTATGATAGCCAGTCTGCTCTTCATATTGCATAAAATCATGTGTTTCATGAATGGACCAAACACATCGAGGTTGATTGTCACTATGTTCGTGATGCTCTCCAGCAAGATTTACTTGCTGCTCGTTATGTCTCATCCAATGATCAACTTGCGAACATTTTCACCAAAGCATTGGGCAAACAGAAATTTCTTACTCTCCTACACAAGTTGGGCGTTTACAACCCCCACGCTCCAGCTTGAGGGGGTGTTGGGCGGATGCTAGTTATGGGCTTTTAATAAGTACATGTTGTATTAATTATACGTATTTAGTTTGTACCTAGTATTATGAGCAAAGGAGTTCTTAGACACATAACATGTTGTATATATACTCTTGATATATGAAATAAAGAGCAGAGCTAGTTTTTTATTCCTACGCTAAACTCAACAGTTCCATTGTACACATATTTTATAAGAATCAAATTGATATTAAAAGTTTGATTTTTTAAATGGTTCCACTTGTTTTGTCTAAGAACCGAACCGGTCTAAGAGTCTAGATTAAACCATATATTATGATATTATACCAATTCACGTGAAATTAATCGTATGTCAAGGGATTAACCTTAACTCGCGACGTTCAATAAAGTATTGTGAGACTAAACTATATACGAGTTAATTTTAACTATATCTCGTGGGATATGGTCAATCCCTTAAAGAACCTCATTTGTGTATTTCAAATAACTCAATGAGGAAAGTTGTATCCTTCTCTGTGATATTAAATCTATATAACGAGTGTTTGGATCTACTTGCTAAAAGTGCTTCTGTTCTTTCAGAGAGCAGATATTGAAGTGTTTGGGTGAAAGTCCATATGTACTTATGGATGCTCCAAATTGCTCCTAGAAGCAGTTTTTTAGATGTTGGGGGGATCAATTTTTGAAAAACTTATTCTGATTTTGCTTCTACTTAAAAAAACAGATGCAAAATCAACTCCAAACACCACCTTAGTTTAGCAATTAGAGAACTAGTTTTTGCTTCTTTTCTTCCTGATATATTTATTTCATTTCAAATTCATAAGAGATGACATCCCCCCTGATGATGTTGCTTTCATTTCCAATTATAAGCTTTCAATCACTAAAAGCTTTTCCCTTGAAAAAGTTTTGATATCTCTCGCCTCTCATAGGAGTGACCTCAAGGCTGTGGAGGATCTAGCCTGGCGGACCCAATTTGAATCATTCTTGGTATCTCAGGGGTTGTTTGACATCTTAGATGGTACCATTCAAGTACCCTCGATGTACACCATTTTTTTAATGAAAAGCAAATTTTTATTAAATAAAGACGAAAGGGAAGTACAAATAGGAAATAACGGGGGGGCATAAAATAAGAAAGATACAAGCGAAAAAAGCAAAATACTATCCCGAAATGCATCAAAAACCCTCCCTAGAATCCCTTAGTTCTCATTCAAGACGAGATTGAGATCTTGTTCTCATGATATGCGATTGTTGATGCTTATTCCTATAAATTTTAATTTGAGTGTTTAAGTTCTGTGTGGGTAAGCAATTGTCCCTCGTGACCATTCTTGATTTGTAACAGATATCCTGATTTGTATCAGAGTCCCATAAATCCTCCATAGATGAAATAGGAGCCCTCTTTTCGCTTTCAGAAGCAAGGCCGAGAAAACCATCTCCCGAGTGAGAAACATTCTGCTCGGCAAAATCACCCTCACTATCATACTGGTCAGAGTAATGTATACCTGTAAAAGCACCACTGAAAGATTTGACCTCAGGAACTACAAAGTTGTTGACGTTCTCTTCTTTACCAACACGTTCATCCAAACAATCTTGCTTACCCAGAAAAGAAGTTAGAGTTCTTTCAAAAAATTTGGATATAAATTGAGAAAG